CAGCTTAGCATGTAAAATGTATCTTTGGCTATCACAATATATGTTTTCTGATCTCAGTGTCGCATTTTCCGACCTCTGTTAAAACATTTCCGAGATATTAAAATCTTCTGCACTTATTTGATTCTGTGTGTGTTTTTTTTTTTTTTTTTTTTTTTTTTTTTTAAGCGTTTCACCCCAAGCGGGAAGCCAGTAGGACGCAAGAGGTTACAGAAAATTTGGAGCAAGATCAGATAGGAGTGATAGAAGCAAGGACGAGGAGAAGGGCAGTGGATAGATCAAGGCAATTGGAGATATCGATTGACATTACATTTGAATAGCTGGAGATTATAGCTCTCAGGGAAACTGGAATACGGAATGGAGTGCCACAGGCGAGAGGTGCGAGACATGAAGCTATTAGAGTAGAAGAGACGGCTACATTTAGGAGTTTCGACAGTGAAGGGGTGAGAGCGGGATGCCAGCCTCGTAAGGCGCTGGAACTCATGAAGTCTGGGAACCAGTGAATGCAGCTCCTCGGAGCAATTGCCATGAAAGTATTTGTAGAACAGACAGAGAGAGGCGACGGCGCGTCTGAGAGAAAGTGACTGTAAACGAGTTGCCAGAGCAGGGCCAATTATATTGCATATCCGCCTCTGGAGCCTATCAAGAACCCCGAGGCAAACAGAAGGGGCTCCAGATCATATGTGGCAGCAATACTCCATGCAAGGGCGAATTGTTGATTTGTAGATCTGGAGGATCGATTCCGGGGAGAAAAATTTCCTGGCGCGGCACAGGGAGCCAACTTTCCTTGCGGTGGACGAAGCAATTGACTCAGTGTATTTGTTCCATCTCAGGTCAGCCGTCAACGTGAGACCGAGCAGCCGCAGAGAGTTGCTCTCGAGAAGTTGAGCGTCAGACATTCTAATGGAGGGCAGGGAAGGATCTCTGAGGTGATTGACTCCAATTTGCAATTCGCAATTTGGTCTGTCCATTTTATTAACAACTATGCATTGTTTTCTTGCAGTTGATGTTTAATCCTTTCTTCACGTTTTCCTTCACCCTGTGTCTGCTATCAACGCTGTGCCATCTGATTTTTTATCTTATTTTCTTAAGATCGTGGCCGCCTATAATTAATCATTGTAGGGCTTCTAGTTCTCTCAGAATCGCCTTGCATAGAAAATATTCGTCCTTTGACAGGATTCGAACCTGCATCCTATACGGAACCGTCATTTACGCTGACGTGCCTTACCGATAGGCCACAATGAAGCGTTCGGTAGACAAGGTCGAATTTACGGCTTATAAACTTCAATTTTCCATGAATCTCGTACATTCATAACTGCTCTGGCGTATCAAATGTACGAGATTCATGGAAGATTGAAGTTTATAATTTCCTTTGTGGCCGATCGCTAAGGCACGTCAGCGTAAATGACGGTTCCGTATAGGATGCAGGTTCGAATCCTGTCAAAGGACGAATATTTTCTATGAAAATTTCTCGGACATTCAGGCCGGTAAATGTTATTTAATACTGTTTATTATAAACAGAGCATTTACTTAAATACTTGTATCTATAAAATAACAACGTTAAACATAAAAATGTCTTTAATAAATAAATTGTCGGACTTTGTCCATTTCTTAATATATATATATATATATATATATATATATATATATATATAATGCAAAAAATTCAGATTTCTCATTTAGATGAGGTCTAATCTTTCGTAAACAAGTTTTATCTCGTTTGGGATATTTTCTTCAGGTGGGAGATAAGATACTACCAGGATATTTAAAGGTGTTTAAGAAACACATGGCGACAGATAACCCATAAGTACCTCAAATAACTTTTATAGCAAGAAATAATGTCGGATTAAACAGCCCATTCAAAAATCACATATATATCATACAAAAAATTCAAGTTTCTCACTATACATGAAGTCGCCTTATACACGAGTGTATACGGTAAATGAAGAACAGGAACGAGTTCTGTTAATAAAAATAGCCCTATCTCCAAAACTGCGAAGGTCCGCTGATGGTTTAATGGATAGCACCTCGGGGCGGAGAAATTGGATAGCCGAGTTCGAATTCCAGTCGGGATCGTTACATTCACGCACGCGCAAATAACGCTGAAGTAGGTATGAATCCATTTCTTACGCCAGCTACGGGGCAAATAGTAGGATATCTATGTGGAAAAAGTATTGTTATTCTCAAGAAATTGTTAATGCAATATCTTCACTCGCTAAAATGGATTATTCTTACTATCGAAAATATGTTCCAACTTTAATAACCCCCAAAAAGGTTGATAAACCGCAAAGAACAAATCGATCTATCAAAAATCCCCCAAAATATTGAAATAGATAAGAAGAAAAACTAAGATATAAATACTCGATAATGCTTAACAAAATGTACAGACAAAGAAACACACACTCACACACGTATAATGATTCAGGTGTGCGTGGTTTATAAGGTGGTGTTATTTTTGTAATTAACCAAACGGTCAAGAAACCAAATGGATAGAAACCGACTACACTTGATGAGATGGGGGGTCTCTTGCTACGCTTCGATTTTGACCAGGAAAGTATTACTGATTAACGAAATGCAAGGTAAAACGGTTCGGAAAAAAAGCAGCACGCACTCACGTACACACGCAGTTGTTAAGTAGGGTCTGTGAGTATCTTATAGCTTGTGAACGGTTCGCATTCCATCTAGCAAACAAAGGCAAAGACATTCCATCATAGAAAAAGGTAGGGTGTTCAGAACAGTTCGGTGGCGGGCGGTGAATGACGTAGTTGTGCTGCTAGTGGTGGTGGTGGTGGTGGTCGGCAAGAAAAGATAATTTGAGAAACTGAAAGAGGGGAAAGAATTTGCCACTGTTCAAAAATTTCTACCTATTTCTTCCTTTCATTCTTCAGGCTTGAATTTTACTTTCTTTTTTCTTCTTTCTTTCTTTTTTCTTCTTTCTTTCTTTTTTATTCTATTTTCTTACGAGTAATTCTGTCCCACAATCGTTCCGAGACATTCATTCTGATTTTTTTCTTATTATTATTTTTAGCTTCCGTTTATTATTATTCATCGTTGGGAACATTTTTTTTATCGTTCGTATTTTTTATATATATATATATATATATATATATATATATATATATAATTCATTTTTTCAGCATAATTCCAGTTTTCAATCATTTATATTTTTGATCTTTTATTTTACTAGATTTATAATTGACTTATCTAAATTTCGTAAATGTTTATATTTTATTTTACAAGATGTATAATTTCATTTTTTTATATTTTATTTTTGCAGGCCTAATTTCATTTCTATAATTTTATATTTTATTTTACAATTTTTTTTTTAACTGTAATCTTTCATTTTTTTATAATTTTTATATTTTATTTTATAAGATTCTAATTTTATTTTATTATTTTTTTATAATTTTTATATATTATTTTACCAGGTCTTTAATTTTATTTTTTGCATTTTGTATAATTTTTATATTTTATATTACAAGATTATTAATTTTATTTTTTATTATTTTTATATTTTATTTTACCAAGTTTTAAATTTTATTTTTTCATAATTTAAATTTTATTTTACCAGCTCTTTAATTTTATTTTATGTTTTTTTTATTTTTTTTATATGATTTAATATTATTTTCATCTTGTAATCCTTTCATATTTTATTTTACAAAATGTTTAATTTCATTTTGTTATAATTTTTATATTTTATTTTACAAGATTTGTAACTTTAATTTTTCATGTTATATTTTTTTTACCATATTTTTAATTTGAATTTTTGATTTTTTTTTAATTTTTACATTTAATTTACCATGTCTTTAATTTTATTTTTCCATTTTTTTTATTTTTAATCTTTTATTTAACAAGATTTTAATTTATTTTTTGTATTTTATTTTACCAGGTCTTTAATTTTATTTTTTTCCATTTCTTTATAATTTTTATGTTTTATTTTATATGATTTTTAATTTTATCATTTTCACTTTTTAAATTGTTTTGTGATGTTTTCATTTTTTTCCTTGTTTGTTCGTTTTTTATTATCTTCTGTTCTTCTTCTACTTCCCCCCCTTTTTTATTATATCGAACATTCATTCATAATTTTCTTTCCATTCATAAAAAAATTCATTCATTTCTCTTTGCTTTTCATTAAGAAAATTCATCATTTTCCCCTTCTGATGTCTTTCGTTTTATCATCATTTTTCATATTCTTTCCTCATATTCTTTCATTCCTTATTTTCCTTTCCCTTTCTAAATTTTAAAAATGGCAGCTGAAAAAAAGAATCTTACTATTGACAGCTATAAAACGCTCTGGCATTTTTCTTCAGCTTTCATTACTATACAACATTAAATAAATAAATAGGGTTTATTTACATTGCACTTTGCAAGTCGGAAGTGTCTATCTGCCTGCTTACCTTAAATCCACTTTCAATATTCTGGATTTTAGTTAGGATCGAAAAAGGACTACTGATATTGATGAAAACTGTACAAAATGTAAAAGCATAACTGGTAATAAAGTCACAGAAAAACCAGTCACAGAAAAAGTCACAATTTTGGCTAGAAAAAAGCTACAGGAACACTCGTCTTAAGACTAGTCTTAACTTGTTTTTGCTACTAATATATTTGGAATTCATTATAGCAGATTTTTAAACACGTTGATAACTGTCAAAAATAATCATTGCAGAAGGTGTTAACATTATTTTTTACAAAAGAATTATTTTTCACTAAATCCAAGGATTTTTGTTCCGAAACAACACTATGTTTCAAGATATCCACTATTCACATTGTTTTCAAGTTTAAGGTTAGGAGTTAGGTTGATTGATTCGTTTACAGGTTATTTAAAGCCAGAAAATGTTTTTTGATTATGAGATTTTATTTTATTTTTTGGTTAGTGATAAACTTACCACTAATTAATCCTGCCTTTCTCTAGCAACATGCATAACGAACCCAACAGAAATTTGAACTCGGTTCTTGGATTAACAAATACGAACCTTTATCCATTACATCACACCCAATTTTATAGCGCCAGATATTCCCAGACGGTCACCCTTCTAAGTACTGAACAGGATCGAGGTTGCTTAACCTCTGTGATCGCACGGGAATCGCGGTTTCAATGTGATGTGTCCGTAAACCTGGCTAGGCGTTAGGGTTTGGTGTACTGACGTGCTATAGAGAAGAACAAGTTTATATACTGTACGTCGACAGGTCATCTCAACCTGACCACACACCAAACACCTGCTCAAAACATTTTACCGGATTAGACAACCTGTGGTCACAGTGACCTCAGCTGACTTACCTTAATCCTACCAAGTTGATGTCGACGGAATTACACAAAGATCTAATGTTTTTGTTCTGTTTTCCAATTTTTAAGCAAAGCTCAGTAATTTACTGCATATTCCTTTTTACTGAGAATGATTGGCAAATTCATCTTTAAAAAGGTGAGAATTCGATGATTAACCGTTCTACTAAATAAAAAAAAGAACAGTGAGAACATTGTCTTCTTTCTTTTTTTACTGTGACTTTCTTCCGTGACTTTTTTCCAATATTTTTCCTGTGACATTACAATAAAATTCATTAATTTACAATCAGTTCTGCATATTTCTTTTTAGTGAAACTGATTGACTTATAAACCTTAAAAAAGTGAGAATTCGATAGTTAATATTTCTATTAAAGAATTATGCAAGAACGTGCTAACCTTTTTTTTTTACGTGGATTTTTCCGCTACTTTTTTCGTATGACATTTTATCGTGACTTTTTTCTTCCTGTGACATTTTTTACCTGTGATTTTTTTTTTTTTACCTGGATTCTAAATAAGATATGAAAGTGACCCTTCCGGTTGACGGAATATTCATTCGGTCTGCATCTTTCATCCATCTTTTCCTCTTTTCATTTATTTGACAATACAAATACTTACAAAATTTCCAACAACGTCCGCTTCTATATCTTGGATAATACAATTTCTTACTCTTTCTCACCCCACACGGAAATGCTTCCCTTTTGCAATACTTCAACTGACGACATTTTCCTCATCAAAATCTTTTTCTTTTTTTCAACTTTTCTTCCCATTCCTTCTGAAGTTTAGATATGCCACACGATGGCGAGGTGTGAATGGATTCTTTTGTCAATTCGACAATGCTTCCTTTTAACATTATAAACATTATTTTTAGTCGATACACATGTTACAATAAATATTTCTGTTTATTGACAAACATTAAATTAACCTCTACCAGTCTGTATTATTGAAAAACTATATATATATAGATAATATCTATATAATATCTATATAATATCTATATAATATCTGTATAGATAATTCCAAGGAGGATGTAATCCAGGGAGCACAATGTAAAAACAGAGCAAATAGTAATTATATAAAAAACAGACAACTTTATGGGATTATAATTTATTTCTTGAGGAGCGGAATTTTAGTCCTAATTCATCAGATCTCCATTTTTATACAAAAATATTGACTAATTTTTCCAGGCTTGAAAACTTACTGATTATTATTTTTAATTCATGCACACATGTATTTGAAGGGGGCCAGTTTTAAGTGGGTATAAGGTGATAGAGGTGGAGGAAGACGATAAGTATGTGATCGAAATTAGAGAGGGAAAGAAGGGCTAGAAAGATGTTTATATCTATCTTTATTAAGATCCATATGGCAAAAGTGGCGGGATAAAAGACCAGACATGTTGACCTATTTGTCAAGTCTTTTCACATGAAAATAAAAGAGGAAAATAGACAAAAAAAGGAAGAAAAAACAGATAAGACAGAGTAGAAAACAAATAGGGAAACATATATAAGATAAAAATATATTTTTAAGTTCTACTATATATATATATATATATATATAATTATTTATTTAAAAATATGATTCCATCGCTACATAAGAGTTCTCATGTTTCAAAACAAGAGCCGAAAACATTGAAACATGAGAACTCTTATATAGCGATGGAATCATGTTTTTTAATAAATAATTATATTTAGGCTCTACTTTTGTATCGAGCACTGGTTTTTAAAAATAATAACAAAAATACTAAAGAACTTTGGCTTATTTACCTAACGAGTTCTTTCTTATTTTCTATATATTCCCCCCACACACATATATATATATATATATATATATATATATATATATATATATATATATAAATATATATATATATATGTAAATACGCAATATTAGGCATGTAAATATAGAAGTGCACATTGATATCAACACCCAGCTTTTTGGCTAAGATCAAAGTGTAGTATCTGTTCTTATCAGCTTAATATCTGATACGTCACCAATGTGGGACTTCGATATTAACGTGATTTTTGAAACATGGCGAAGAGTTTCATATTAATGCTGAGATAAATATGTACATCTATATATTGAAATCTTATATTGTTACATCGTATATCTGTAGAATTTTGTAAAGCTTGTATCTTGAGCACTGTAAATCTTGTATATCTGTATCTTGCGCACGTGTCCGCTTGTAGATCCTGAAAACATTGTGCATCTATATCTTGTACATCTTGTACATCTTGTAGATCGTGTAAATCATGTACATCCGGATCTTTAGCTCTATTTACATATACTAAATCTTGTATATCTTTTACATCTTTATCATGAACAATTGCACATTTTGTGGATCATGTAAATCTTGCACGTGCATATCTTGAGGACTTTTACGTCTTATTAATCTTTTACATCGAGCACTTGTATATATAGATCAAGTAAATCTTCTAGATCTATATTTTGATCACACGTACAGCTTGTAGATTTCTTAGATCTCACAAAGTTATATCTTGATGTAGATCTTGTAAATCTTTTACATCGTCAGCAGCGGAAAGCTAACTAGTCTTACTGATAAAGATGAGATGTCTTTGTAATTAGCGTTGTTAGATTAAGCAGAAGTTGTGAAATAAGGATAGAGGAGTGTCTAGCGTAACGATTATTAATTTTATCTTGTAGACGATTATTACGTATTTACACTATCTATCTATTTATCAATATATATATATATATATATATATATATATATATATATATATATATATATATATATATATATATAAGGCTCAATCACTATCCCATGCTTATAATTTATTACATTTTAATCGTAATCAAGATCTAAAGGTCTGATGAATTCGATCGTGATTACGATTCCAATGTAATGAATTATAACAATGGAATATTAATATTTGAGCCTTTTATATTATATTCTTACTCTGTCCAGGACATTGAGTTCTAGCTGGATTCTATACTTTTGGAAATATATATATATATATATATATATATATATACACGGACTGACGATTGCGCCGAGCATGAAACAGCCTGTCGCCTCTGAGTGGTGATTCAGTGTTCACTTTTATATTTACATACGCTCTATGTCTGATATGGAGCATTTTATCCCATAAACATAGCACACTTTAAAACTATAATTCTTCATATATATATATATATATATATATATATATATATATATATATATATATATATAAAACACGTAATAATTGTATTCGAGATAAAATTGATAATCGTTACACTAGAAAACTATATATATATATATATATATATATATATATATATATATATATATATATATATATATATATATATATATATATATATATATATATAATTTCTCATATAATTCCGTATATATATAATATATATATAGCAATATATGTATAATTCCTCATATAATTCCGTTCATCATTAAACGAGCGACATATCTATCTCTCTATCAATATATATATATATGTGTGTGTGTGTGTGTGTGTGTGTGCGTGTGTGCGCGCATTTAGGCAGCAAAGTCTCTCATAGGCATGTGTGATTGAATACATTAGATACATTATGTCTGCTAATTTTTAACAAAATCCGGTCATACTCACAAATAACTTTCCGTGTATCGATAATAAAAGGATGAGAGAAATGTGCTGTAGCTGTTTAAATTTCTTTTATTTTCATTTCCCAAGTACTTTCGATCTTCTTTTGTACTACTTGCTCCTGAAGAAAATCGAAAGTACTTGGGAAAAGAAAATAAAAGAAATCCTCCAACTATGGCAGAGTATATGGCAGAAACAAAAAAACCTGTTGAGAGCCACAAGAGATAAGGAGAAGTGGAGGGCCATGATCGCCTACGCCCTGAAAGGAGACTGCACATAAAAATAAAAGAAACAGTGACAGAGAGACGATGATCAAATGTAACTAGCTTGGTCTTCGAGGTATTGAAGGTAAACAGCCAGTTTTTAACCCATTGTGTAGTTGTGCAATAGCAGAATAAAGACCAGTCGCCAATTTCTGGCTACTGAGAGCTTTATCTTTAGTATAGGTAATAAACATTACCTATACTAAAGATAAAGGTAAAATGATCGCTTCTCTGTACCTCTCCAGTAGGTACCCGATGCCTACACTTAACATTTACAAGAGACAGATCACGACTAAAATAGAGTACTGTTGTCATAATTGGACGGGTGCTAACCACACTCCAGTGTTGATAGAATTCAAAAGCGTCTCAGAGCCCTTATGGGTAGCGAATTATTCTCCTCCCTTCAACCACATTCCAACAGGCAGAATGTGACAAGCCTCTCGCCGCTATATCGCTACTTCCACGGAAGGTGCTCGGACGAACTACAATTTCTGGTCCCGTCGAGGCCAACCTTCACTGCAATAACACTCCATACCACTTACATTGTGTCAAACTACCCACATTCCTTCCGTATTCCATCGGTGAGAAGATTCACTTGAGCAGCCATATGGAACTGATTTCTAATAGGATGTTTCTCAAATCACTATATTCTTAACCTGTTTAAGGTCAGAGTTAACCGTTATCTTCCAATCCTATACACAAAAATGACCCCCAAACGTAACCCTCTACCTTGAGTGGCCCTGTGCCTTTTAAATATTGAACCTCACTATATATATATATATATATATATATATATATATATATATATATATATATATATATCATCCCGCCTGTGCAGCAGTGAATGCTGAACAATTTCCTTACAGACGAAGAAGAAACTTGAAGCAACAGAAATGTAGTTCTAGAGGTGAATGCTGAGAAAAGCTTATGCCGAATAAGAAGTTTTAGTGACAATTGAAACAAAAAGGCTACTTATAGTTAACATCAA